GATTCTGTCGTCCCTGTACTCTGTCCGGCTTCATTTGAAGCCCTAGTTTGTGTTTGATTTCAGTTTCCAAAGTCCCTTTCTCTCTCTTTTCACCATCAGAGAGCTTCCTACCCGTCATCGTCCACATCTCCAGCAACAGTTATCGGTAAAGAATTAGTCTTACAATTTCGTTTTTTGTATTCTTTTCTGTCTTCTTTTCCTCTTTTCTGCGAACCCCCTGTTTCTTGCCCCCTTCTTGCTTCTGATCTTCATTCGACATGGGCAAGGAAGACGGTACGGCATCCAGCACCCAGACTGTTGTGGATTTTACGCATCCTCTATATCTTCATCCGTCCGACACTCAGTCGGTGACATTGGTATCCCAAGTATTGCGAGGAGCTGAAAACTATGAGATTTGGAGCCGGTCAATCACACTTGCTCTGCTGGCCAAAAACAAAATGGGGATTATCGACGGCACATGTACCAGAGAAGATCAAGATCCCCACCTCCGTGATCTCTGGGATAGGTGTAACGCGATTATCCTATCCTGGTTAATCAACTCGGTCGACAAGCAGATAGCCACCAGTATTGTGTTTTCGAATAGCGCTAGACTCGTCTGGCTCGATTTAAAGGATCGATTTCATAAGGCTGACGGCATGCGTATTTTTACTCTGCGTAAGATGATTAACTTAATCATCCAAGGCACTATGAATGTCTCCAAATATTACACTAAACTAAAAGATCTCTGGGACGAGTTCGACGCCATCATGCCGCTCCCCATGTGTAAATGTGATACTACACAGCAGTATACCAAGACCATTCAACAACAGCGGCTATTTCAGTTCTTGACCGGCCTGAATGATAATTTCCATCAAGCTCGCACACAGCTCTTACTTCAGTCGCCATTGCCCACTGTCAGCCAGGCATGTTCTCTAATTTGTCAAGATGAATCACAGCAGTACATCTCATCACGAACCCATAATTCACCGTATGACAATGGCACCATGGCTGCTCGTGGTGGAAGACAAGGAAGGGGCCGTGGAAGAGGACGTGGTAGATCATTTGAAGAGTTCTCACATTGTCATAGAAAGGGCCATAAAAGAGAGAATTGTTATGAGTTGGTTGGCTTTCCCACTAACCTTCGAGGAAAGCCTGTCCAGACCACAAATACCAGTCATGTCGGCAACGTTTCCTCCTCTACCTCCCCTGCACCGAATCAAATGCCCATTACTCAAGAACAATATGATCAAATATTGAAGCTTCTGCGAAAAGACCAAGATGATATTGCAGTGGGCACAACTAACTATCTGGAAGAAACCATTTCAGGTATCGTTTTAACTGTCCCAAAATCATTTTATGAATCAAACTGGATACTTGACTCGGGTGCCACATGCCATGTTGTCAATAGTTTAAATATGTTTGCCACGGTAGACAAGTATGCAGGACCAATTAGAGTAATTAAGGTGCCCAATGGTGATAAAATGTTAATAACTCATGTGGGAACTGTTAAAATTCTTGATGACATTGTTTTAACCGATGTCTATTATGCTGTTGGTTGTTGTTATAATCTAATTTCAATATCTAAGTTAACCGCCAGCAAGAAGTTTGTGGCTTCCTTTTACTCTGATTATTGCACACTGCAGGACATCTCAACTGGGAGAACAAAGAGGATTGGTAGACTCTATGGGGGCCTTTACCTCATAGAACGAATTAACAACATGGATAGTGTGTTGCATGTTTCTACTAAACAGACTATTTGGCATAACAGACTAGGGCATGTTCCTGTGAATAAGCTTCGCTATTTTGAACTGATTAGGAAAGAAGTTCCTGCCCTTACTGATGAGAAATGTATTGTGTGTTCTCGTGCTAAACAAACCCGTTTACCTTTCCCCTCTAGTCATTCTGTTACCCATTGCTATTTTGAATTGATTCATGTAGATGTTTGGGGGCCCTATAGGGTTCCCAGTTATAAAGGATACCGATATTTTTTGACTATCGTTGATGATTTCTCTCACTGTACTTGGACCTTTCTCATGATTAATAAGAATGAGGCAGTTCATCATCTCAAAAATTTTCTGCTTTATGTTTCTACTCAGTTTGCTTCTGCTGTAAAGAAAGTTAGAACGGATAACGGTTTAGAATTTGTTAATACAGAATTGAACACTCACTTTACCAGTAAAGGTATAATTCATGAAACCTCATGTCCTTATACACCACAACAAAATGGGGTTGTAGAGCGCAAACATTGCCACTTATTAGAAGTTGCTAGGAGTCTTCTGTTTTAGTCTCATGTTCCCTTGAAATTTTGGGGGGAAGCCATTCGGACAGCCACTTTCTTGATTAACAGAACACCCTCTTCCATTTTAGGTCATAAAACTCCGTACAAAATTCTGTATAATCACCCTCCAGACCTGTCATTTTTGAGAGTTTTTGGTTGTTTAGCCTTTGCTACAGTTTTGCACACTCATGATAAGTTTCACAGTCGCTCTACTCCTTGTGTTTTCCTTAGGTACCCCAATAATCAAAAGGGCTATCTATTGTATAATATTCAGTCCCAAACCTTGCATGTTAGTCGACATGTCACCTTTGAGGAATCTCGATTCCCTTTTAAAGATGCAATAGGTCCCAATCAAGGGGGAGATTGTAGCCAACAAATGATTGATCCCTTTAGCAATGACTATAGGATCTATGAAACTGATTTAGCACTACCATCTTTAGTTAAAGAACATAATAGTCATAAACCAGAGATGGGGGATGCTGGAGATCAAGTACCTACCGAGATTCCCCAATGTTCTAGGAGAACAGACCGAGAAACAAGGAAACCAGCCTGGATGAAAGATTATGTATGTCATGTTGACACTGCTTTTAGATCAATGGTAGGCTATGCTTGCATTATGGATAATGATCAAATACCGACAACAAATAAAAGAATGGTAAGGTATCCAATGCAGTCTTATTTATCTTATTCTCATATTTCACAAGACTATAAATGTGTATTGTCAAGTCTTGACAGCATTACAGAACCAACCACTTTTGAGCAAGCAGCCAAAGATCCCAGGTGGGTTGATGCAATGAAGGCAGAGATAAGAGCTTTGGAGGACAATGGGACCTGGAAAATCATGGAGTTGCCCAAAGGAAAGAGACCCATAGGCTATAAATGGGTCTATAAGGTGAAGTATAATTCAAAAGGTGAGGTAGATAGATTTAAGGCAAGATTGGTTGCCAAGGGGTATAGTCAGCAAGAAGGAATTGACTATTTTGAGACCTTTTCACCTGTAGTTAAAATGGTTACAGTTAGAATTGTTCTTAGTATTGCTGTAATGAATGGCTGGAATTTGTTTCAAATGGATGTTCACAATGCTTTTCTTCAAGGTGATTTGAAGGAGGAGGTGTATATGAGAGTTCCACAAGGATTTGGACGGTATGGAAACAATAAAGTTTGCAAATTGACCAAATCTTTGTATGGTTTGAAACAAGCATCCAGACAATGGAATGCTAAACTTAGTGAGGCTCTTATTCAGTGTGGTTTTAGGCAAAGTTTGTATGATTATTCACTGTTTATAAGGAAAACTGAATCTGAAATGACTATGGTTCTAGTTTATGTAGATGACCTGGTTATCACAGGAAATTTGACTGAAAAGATTAATGAGGTAAAGAATTTTCTGCATAATAGATTCAAGATTAAAGACTTGGGTCAGCTTAAATATTTTCTGGGAATAGAAGTGGCTAGGTCAAAACATGGAATTATACTTAATCAGAGGAAGTATACTCTAGATATTTTGACTGATATGGGCTTGATTGCAGCAAAACCTCTTGGTATACCTCTTAAGCAAAATATAAGACTTAGCAACAGACCAAACAGTGAGGAAGATGACTGTCTAATATCTGACCCAAGTGCATACAGGCAGTTGATAGGTAAGTTATCATATCTCACTGTAACTAAGCCTGATATAAGCTTTGCTGTGCAGGCACTTAGCCAGTTCATGAATGCTCCAAGGAGGTCGCATTATAGGGCAGCAGTGAGAGTGGTGAGATACCTCAAGGGCTGTCCAGGACTTAGGATCAAGATCGCAGCAAATAAGGATGCTCAACTGGAATGTTATGTAGATGCAGATTAGGGAACATGTCCAGATACTAGAAGGTCTGTACCAGGATATGTAGTGAAATTTGGAGGATCACCGATATCCTAGAAGTCAAAGAAGCAGAACATGGTCTCCAAATCATCCACAGAGGCAGAGTACAGAGCATTAAGCAGTGCTGTTTCAGAGATCGTGTGGATCAAAAGGTTGCTGGAGGATCTTGGGTTTACTAAGTTAAAACCTGTGCAACTGTTTTGTGACAGTAAATCTGCAATTTGTATAGCAAATAATCCTGTATATCATGAAAGGACTAAACACATAGAAATAGATTGTCATTTTGTTAGGAAAAAATTACAACAGGGAGTCATAAGTCTTGAGCATGTAAGGAGTAAGGAACAACAGGGTGACATATTCACCAAGGGATTAGGAAAACAAGATCATGACAGGATCTTGAGCAAGTTAGGGGCTGTAAACCTCTATGCACCCCAAACTTGAGGGGGAGTGTTAAGAGGATTAAATTCAGGTGATTGTATCTGGGCCTATATTGGGCCTAAGGTAGTTAGTCTAGGGCCTGTTCCGTATAAGTAAGTGAAACAGGTCCTTCGGTGTATGTTGTTGTATCATCTTGGCCGCGTGGCCTTTGTGAGTAATAAACGAGTTATTCAGTTTCTCTCTGGTTCTTCTGGTTCTTTACAGCTGGGATTCACAGCTCTTCCTCCGATCTTCCCCTCACTACACAGCGGAATGTTCCCAATCACACCGCTCAAACAACTTCTGCAATCTTCTCCACAGTTTGAGACTGAAAATTACCTTGGTTCTTCGCATACGCCTTTTTCTCCGACGCAGATTTCGCCACCGCCACCATACTTGCCGTCTGATTCATAAAATCCAGCAAGAAACTCTTAAATCTTGCCTGGTACGAGTTGGAGATATTGTACGGGTTCAATATGACGAGGTTGGCCATTTATCAATGGTGGAGAAGAAAGAGGTGTTGGAATAGCGAAGCATGCACTCGTCGTACCAAATTACGGCCTCCTTCGAAATCCGGCACTCAAAAGGTAGCAGTTGGGTTGCGTTAGCGACGCATTCACGGCAGACTTGGAGGGAGACGTCGCCTCGGCACATGAAGAGGCCGTAGATGGCTTCACTGCCTCCGGGAATGGTGGTGTTGTAGGAAGCGGCATTGGCTGAAGCTAAGGAGGAGAGGAGGGTGGTCCGGTGGGATTGGAAGGTACTATTAGCAGAGAAGCTTTTTCCGGCGGTGGAGCAGTTGTGGTAAAGATAAGTAGGTCGTACTGCTTCAATGGTAGGAGAACAGAGGAAGCTAGCGATAAATAAGAAGAGTAAGAAGTATCTGTGAGTAATCATGGCGAGGTTGAAGAAGGGTTTGTTCTTAATTGGTGTTTGATGAGATGAGGCGAAGACTTTCGTAGTTTGTGGAGTTTCTATTACATAAATTAAAATTAATAAAAATGATAACAGTCAAATCAAAATTATAAACAAATATTTTAAATCTTTGACCCATCAAAGACCCAACCCCATCGATTGGGTCCTCGTTTTTGTAGACGAGGAACTGAGGATAGCCTCTCGGGTCGATCTTATAGCTCATGCTTCCGGGTCTCGGGTCGTCATGGGATTTCCATGAGGCAAGGAATCTTTTCAATCCGGTCTTCTTATCCAATCCATATTTCATAAGCGGAAGCATGGTGTCGCAGGGATAGTAAAAACTCTGCCAAAGAACCTTGTGCCATTATTTTCGATCAAAACCAAGTTTCCTGTGTCTAGAACCTTCGCGAAGGTCTTAGTGGGATATGATGACAACGAGAGTGAAACATTGGAAGACCAAATGGGATTTGGATTCGTATGGTTGGCAACAAGATCGAACGATGTTCCCATGGATGTCGATTGAGAGAATTCCAAAAGTATTATTAAGAGGGTTGTCTCTGTTGGCAACCCAGACAAGGGTTCGCTCTGAAACTTGGTTGTACCAGATTCCGACGAAGCTGTTTTTGGAATTTTTGTCGGGCATGAAGAAACCAAGGGCAAAGGTTGTTCCGTCGGAGACCAAAACGTCGCCGTTTTCAAGAGGCTTCATGGTGGTGATCGATGAAGACCAGTGAGGGTGTTTAGAGGTTTGTTAATTTCTCTACCAAAACTTCAATTGTCAAACAACTAACAAAGATGGCGGAAGTGGACATACACGTGTGATTGAGACACATGAACAAACGTATGAAAAGGTTACGGTGGGTTCTTTGAAAGTCGTTGGTTCCTTCTTCTGCATGGATTGGGGTTATCACACAGAAGATAATGACATCAATAAAAGTAGGGGTGCACATGGGCAGGGCTGGGCAGGGCAGGACCCCTGCCCGATGCCCGGCCCGAAATATGAATGGGCTGCATTTTGCAGCCCGCTGCCTGGCCCTGCCCATAGAAGCCCTAACTGTTTTGGGCTGGGCATGGGTGGGCTGGGCAGGACGGGCTTTGTTGCCCAAATAATGATGACCTGTCGATATCACATGTAAAAAAACTTTTGTCCATAACTGAAAATTACATTTCATAATTTTACATTTTTGCACATTGAAATTATCCAAAAATAATTTAAAACAAGTCTTAGCAAATATCTAAATAAATAATATTCATAATCTATTTAGAACAAAACAACTCTCAAGATTGTAATTAAAACCTTGAAATTCAAACTGTTTGCGTCAATCTCCATAAAGTTGAGAAAATAATAAAACATTTGAAAAAATTGAAGAGGGGTTGAAGCACATTGAGATATTCTATTGAGGGTTGGAGATGGCAATGTAATAGAAGCTTGATTATCCATTCAAGTGGCAAAAATTAAATGTTACCTAAAGGATTATAAAAAGATATTAAAACTGAAGTAATGGGTTAAAAGGAATCATATAGACCATATAAAAATATGGTGAAATAATTGTAAAAAGATAAATAAAAAAACTTCAAATCTTATAATAATTTAATATAACCACTTTTAATATGCAAACACTTATTATGTAATACAATGCAGTTAGTAGTCCGTACAACTAAACGACTTCTTTCCATCATATGATTTGTTCATAAAAAATTAATACAAAATAACTAAATATAAATTAAATAAAAAAATAAAACATATAATCCAGATAATTAAACCCTAATTTTCTTTCTCTGCTCCTACCCCAATCTTGGATTCTATCTTGTATAAATATTTAAAATTGTTATTTTTATACAAATATGTAATGTATGAAATCTATTCTCAACAGAGAAAGTTGTTAATGACATATAAGGGAAGACGGGCTTATAAATAGCCAACATTACAATAGCAACACACAATAGGATGTACTCAATAAAGCTCATGAAGAACAATAAAAGCAAGATACTATTGTTTTTTTTAGAAAAATTAGATCCCTAAGATGGAAAACTAACAGACATGTACAATAATAAATTAAATTACAAAGAGGAGGGAATAACTTTTTTTTGGGGTAAAGAAATGTAATATATTAATATTATTTTATAAATTATAATATATATAAATATAATTTGGGCAGGGCCAAATGGGCAGGGCAGCATGTCCTGCCCGATGCCAGCCCTGCCCATGAAATGCCCAGCCCAAAGATGCCTATTTTTTTCGGGCTCCTTTTTTTCGGGCTGGGCTGGGCAATTTTTCTTCGGGCTTGGGCGGGCTTAGCGGGCTTTGGGCTTCATGCACACCCCTAAATAAAAGTATAATACACTCCCTCCTACCTATAGATATATGTAGACATATACATATACGTGTGTCTGTGTGTGTATGAAAGTTACGTTCTTAGGCATAGGACTTTCTATGATTTATTTTTTGGCTGAAAATTTTATGTCTTTTTTTATTTTTATTCCTATTAAATGTACGACCGTGTATTAACTATTACTCATTTTCTCTTATTTAATAAACTATAGACTCAATTTTTCCACTCACATCTCTCTCACTTCTTTCACAAATAAGGTATATCTTTGACAAAATGATTCATTTCTTGCATATTTATTGTTTTTAAACTAATTTTAATTAGCCAACATTTTGACGTAGCTGATTTGATTAGTTGTAACTGATTTCATGGGTTGTAACTTACTCCTTTGGTTCTATTTATAGGCAAATAAAGAAAATTTTTCTTAGTAGTTACATAAATGTACTATTTTGACATTTATGTATTATGACGTAGATAGTTATTTTTTTAAAGGTTTATATAGAAATATGGATAAACTCGAAAAAATTGTATATTTTAAGGAAGAATTGATATAGTTTATGATTTTTTTTAATGTGCAAAACATACTACCTCCAGTCCTTAATATAGGAGTTCATTTGACTTTTATTTTAGTTCTAAATATAAGAATTCAATTCATTTTTCTCTCATATTTATTTATTTATTTATTTCCAAGATAGTCCTTGTAATAATGGTACTATCTCCGATCCTAGTTATAAGAGTTAGTTGACTAATTTGAGGAGATTAAGGAAAGACGTTAAATTAGTTATTGTAATAAATAGATGTTGTCTTTCCTAAAATATCTTTACTAATCAAATATATTGATTAGAACTATCATTGTTAGAAAGATTGTCTTGGAAAAAATACATAAATATGAGAGACAAAGTGGATTGGAGTTTTATATTTAGAACGAAAATAAAAGTCAAACAAGGTCTTTATATTAGGACCGAAGGTAGTAGTTCTAATCAATAATATTTGTTAGCAAGAAATTTTATGAAAGATAGTTTTCTTAATCTATTCAAATTAGTCAATTAGTTCTTATATTAAAAATCAAAAAGTAGCATTAGAAATGTCTCTAAAAATAAGAAAACCAGGGCAAGGAATAACATATATAGAGTCAATAGGTCCAAGTGGTCATGAAGAAACACCCAGCTGAAACGTTTCGTTGTCAATGACAAATTAACATTGCGGTCTCAATAAAATAAACTTGCATGTGATCCTGATAGAGACACGTCACACACAACTGGAGAGAGAGTGTGGGCCGGGTTTTTCTAATTATATATTTAGTTTTATGATTCAAATAATATAGAAGCAAAAACACACTTTTAAGAGAAGTGTGTTTGTAGCTTAACAGTCAAACCAATAATATAATAATTAAATAAAATTATATTACATACTTGTATTAGTATATAATACAGGTACAGAAATAAAATTTAAATATATTAAAAATAAACACAGACGGTTAGTTTTGGATATTAGGCAAGTGAGAGAGCTTCAGATTACTGGGAGAAGAAGGCGCAGAAGAGGGGAAAATACAAAGTGGTTTACCATAAAACTACCTTTTCGAAAACTTCCAAATCCAGATTAGTGGTGTGTATCTAGTAAGTTGCACTTTATGTATAATACACAGCGATGATATAAAATTGACGATAATAATTAGAATATTGTCACTGACCAAAGAACTTACGATCTCCTGTTTATTTCCATGATCTTCTTTTACAAACTGGCATGAGGAATCTAAAACCTAAGGTTTACATCAATACTTGTATTGTGAACTTTTGTGAAGACAACTATTATCTTAGTGGTATGCCAGTTTCAGAATTAATTTGCCACAAATCAAATATAATAAATAGAGCAGTAGAATAATGATAGTTCTAAACAACAAAAACTTGATTAGCAAGCATATTTTAGAAAAGGCAACAAATATTTTTTATAAATAACTAACTTAATTTGTTTCTTTAATCTATTTAAATCAGTAAACTAGCTCTTATAGTTAGAATCAGAGGTAGTATATTAATTGTTGAGATCTATCAGTCTTTCAAAATTGACTGCTATTAATTTAATTTTAACTGAGTTAAGGTGAAGAGTAAAGCGACTTATTTTTCAATAAGTAAGGACGATGGTTATTAACAAATATTTCTTGTTAGTTTTAGATGCTTTATTTGATTGATTTAGATAAAAAAAATTTGTATGTTGTTAAAAATGTAAGCTTGAATTTAAATTTGATATATCATTGGGATTTTTTTTTTCTAGTAACGTTTAAATGATCGAGAACTTCTGTGTATAACGAAGAGTTCCAATATTGAGAGATAAGCAAGTATCTTGAAGATAATTTTTGACAGGTCAAAATTTTTTTAATAAACATTTTATTTGGGAAGATACAAAGAATTCATGATATATGAATTCAGGTCACATAAGGGAAAAAAACATGAAAATGGAGTCTGGTTAAACCTTAATTAAACACAAGTACCACTACTACAAAAAAATACATTTAACGGCGGTTAAAATAAGCTTTTTACGGCGGTTTTGAGACCGACGTCTATGCCATCGACGTAAAATGTAGAGGATTTCACGGCGGGTTTAAGAACCGCCGTGATATGTGACTTTTCACGGCGGTTATATAAATAACCGCCGTGAAAAAATTTTATTCCTTTAAGCTACGTTTCATCTTACTGATCAGGAGGGAACGGGAGGGAGAACAAAGCCTCAAAGGAAATCTCTCGCCAGTTAAAAGCATTTTGATGGAGTAAATATAGATTCTTTCCTGCCTTCATAGCGTCACTTAGCTTCACCTTCGGCTACCAGATCGAAGCAATTAAGATTTAATAAAGGTAAAATCAAAGACCAGATCTGATAAAATCAAAAACTCAGATCTGCTAAAAATCAGATCTCTTTAAACTCAGATTAAGCATCTTATTTTTTAACTAAAGAAAATAATCATATCAAACCACAAAAACTGCAAATCCACAAAAAG